TTTTTTTTTTTTTTTTTTTTTTTGTGAATGGAGTGTACCTTGGATTAGAAGGCAAATAGGCTGTGGGGTTTACTCGGCACCTGAGCTTCAGGCCTGCGGAGGTGAATACGCACACGCTGCCATCATCGAAGCTCGTGTAGATCGAATGGCTGTCACATGAGTATGTGGCGTCTGTTATTGCGGGACCCGACGGGACCCACTGCCCACCAACCAACCAACAGGCAAACATTTGTCAGTTGCGAAATTTTTGTCTTTCTCCAATAACATGTACTTTTTTTTTTTGGCCTATTTCATATACGAATTGATGTTTTGAAGGAAAAGTGATGTTTTTCATAATTATTGAATAGCATTTCTAGTGAACACCTGTTTGATGCATTCTAATTTGGAAGCCTCGTACACGGCTAATTGCGTCTCGTGGACGACTAACACGTGTGTCTGGTCTTGATGAAATTGAACACGAGTCTGTGCCAAAGGATTAGAAGAGCGGCCCGAAGGAATCTGCAAGAACTTGTTCGCCTTCTTTTCCCATCCATCCAAACTCCACAGACATATCTGCAAAATACATAATGACCATATTCACTTGAGATTTAGACTAAATTACAAATCCAATTTATCTTTCAAAGTTTTAATTCATTTTTTTCCAGGTCGAGAATTTATATACACGAACAAACTTTACCTGAGCATCAGCTCCTGATGATACAAGGACATCTAGCACGTTTGAGAATGCAAGCCCAGTTACTCTCTTCTGATGACCTTTTAGCTTGGTTTTTACCTGGTTAAGTCACAATGTTAATGTTTTGCGATTACTTTAAGCATGCAATAAAGTTTTAATTTTGATTTTCGACCTCATCAACTCGAACATTGTAGATTTGTATGGTGGAATCTTCCATTCCTATTGCAATAACATTATTGTCCTGTGGATGGAAGGCAAGAAATGTGGCTGCTGGTGGAGGGGGCATGAAAGTAGTCATTGTCTGCAAAGAAAGAGATGATAAGAAATGTTAAAACGAAAAACCGAAAAAAAAATTAAAGTTATCAAATCATCTATAGTTGAGACCGAGAAGAAAGATTCACGTTATTACCTTAAATGTCATCATATTGAATAGGGAAATTTTTCCTCCCGAAGCCGACATAACATAGGAATCGTTCTTGGAGAGTGCGAAACACGGAACGGCTTCTTCAAGATTGGTCTCACTTATATCGTTGGTCATTAAGATTCCACTCGAAGGTTGCCAAAGTTGTGGTGGAACAGAAGAAGTTGCCTATATTAAATAAATAAATAAATAAATACTTAAAGAAAAATAAAATTATTCCAATGCGAGATCATATGCAAAAGGAAAAAAAAAAATAAAAAAAAAATAAAAAAATGAAACAACTCAAAGAGAAGGTTAATATAAATAACCTTTCCGCTAGCATTTCTCTCTGTTCGCTGCCATTTCCAAAGTTTGTGGACAGCATTGTATGCTAATGCCAAAATGGCACCTCCAGAATTTGTATAAATTAGCCGAATAATCTGGAAAATTTCGAGAGAGACTGGTCAAGTAATGGAAACAGTAACAAGCAGCAGGAAAAAAAAATGTTTCAACTTCAAAACAGTAATTTTTTTGGCAAACTTTACCCTCACTGACAACAAACCATCGGGAAGCCTCAAAGAACGCAGTTGAGATTGTTCGTTAACTTCCGTGAGCTTCCAAATCTTGGATTTTTCCAGCTCGTCAGAAAATCTTGATTTTGCATCCTGTAAGTTCCTCGCATCCCCGTTCTATCACAAAATTAGAGCAATTAGGATTTTCCACATACAAACAGATAAAAGTGAATGAATTTCATACACTAAACCTACTAATATATTGTGAGACTCACCAATCCAATATTAGCACCCATTGGTGAACTTCTATCTGTGCTAGCACCAGTGCCTGCTGCCGAACTCGAAGCACCAAAAGGGCTAAGAATAGCTGCCTGCAGAACAAAATTACTGATTTAATTAATAAGCCGTGGTAAAATTTAAACCCGCTAGAGGAAAGTCGATCGATATTATCATCAACCTTCGCATTGGCTCCAGATCGACTTTCCATTGATCGCATCAAACGAACACCTTCAGGATTAGCGAGTATTTTGACACCATTATCATTAGTCGACACAGCCAATAGGGACCCTTCCTTGCTGAACCGAATGCAAGGAGAAGCCTGAGAGAGAGATGAAGATGACTAATCAAAATCAATAAAAAGAATCTCTCCTAAAAGAGAGGCATTGAGTGTAGAAGAAAATAGAATTAGATGTTTTTACCGGTAAACCACCATCGGCATCAATACTCATTAATAGATTTACATTGTCCATGTCCCAAAATTTAATCTTGAACTCATCACCAGCAACCAAGTAGCGGTTCTTTGTGGTGTCAAATTGGACTACTCCAACCGAGCGTTTACTTACACCAAGATATGTCCTCTTCACAGCTCCTTCACTCTCATTCCACTCCACAATGAACGATTCCCCCTCTTTGCTCGTGCCACAGGAGAATAATCTATTCTTCATTAAAAAAAACAATTAATGGAAACCGAAATGAAAGAAATGTAAAAAAAAAAAGACGGTAATTAACTCATGCAACTATATACCTAGACCCATCAGCACTGTAGGCCATAGTGGTACAAGATCGACCTGGAGCATCATAATCCACTCTTGAACCCATATTATCATACAGCCAAGCTTTGATCTTTCCATCAACAGAGGTCGAGAAGATGAACTAAACGGAGAGGAAAGAAGGATTTGAGTCTTCTTTCATAAACAAATAACTCGAAGTGTTTTTAGTAGACTTCAGCATAATATACCTGAATATTTTCCTTGAAATGCGGGCATACAGAATAAACAGGTGCCTCATGACCCTCAAAGGTAAACTGTTTAGTACCAGTGGCTACATCCCATACCTATGCAGCAACAAGCATAATTAGAGCTTCTGAAAATACCACAACACTATTTTTTAATTTATAAAGAATATACTACAAAAGGGCAAACCTTAATTGCCTTGTCCTCCCCACAGGTTATAACACACAATTGCTTGTTAGGATGAGAAAAGGCAAGATCACTGACACTACCTATATGTGCATCAATCTGAAAAAAATAAATAAATAAATAAATAAATAAATAAACCAGTCAAATTCTCTAAGCACCACAGCAGTTTACATTTCCGTTCAAAGCAAGGGGTATTATAAAAAGATCAAACCTCACGGTGATTCCTTAGGTCATCGCCTCCAAAATAAGCATACAAGTGAACAATGTGTTTCGAGTACGCAACACCTGAATCAGATTTAAAAAATATATTAAATGAACAAGGAAAAACAGAAAAGAAAAGGAATCATAAACTATCATGTGCATTTGAGGTTTTCAATAGACTGACAAAGGAAAAGGTGCAATTCCGATTTGCACTCATAACAATCTCAGATGGGTAATGTCAGAAAGTCCTTATACAAAAGTACAATGAAGATATTTTGAGAATAATTATCAAGGCTGATTAATTGTTACATTATAGAATCTTGCTCCGAAAATAGACACATTCTAACAGCAGAATTTTTGAGCAACCCAATTGCCAGTTAAGGCTTCAGAGTGAAAATTAATCAAATAATAAAACATACCAAAAAGATTTCCATCGGAACTCCACATGACACGGTTCACGGATGCGGTGTATTCATTGGCCAAAGAAGCCTAAAAGCAAAAGCCCAATACTTATGACTCAGGTATATTCATACTGCATTATTGGGTAAATGTAAATTTCTTAATATAAATACCAAAAGACCTGAAGATTCATCGTGCAAGCTCCAAGGTCCCACACTTTAAAATTTCTGACAGCCAGCCTCTCCCCGCTACTCACGTCCCAGATAGAGATCTCACCGATATTAGTTCCCACTGAAAAAGGGAGAAGACGAAAACATTACAAAAGATTATGTTGTTTACGCATGCATACATGTTTACACTTTCAAATTAAACAGGCAAGGCAAAGAGAAGCAGAAACTATAATTCAAATAGTCTATCAACTAATCGATATCGAAATAATTATAATAAAGGTAACCAAAAAAAAAAAAAGTTACAATAGTGGGAGCAAACCTAGAAGTAGTGTCTGTTGAACCGGGTGAAAATCCATGGTTTTTACGGCAGAACCCTGATTCAAATTTGCCATCACCGTCTTAGGTAAGTCATCAGCAGCAGTTTGCAAGGAGTGGGCATGGCTCTGACCAGTATATGCGACAGGCAATATGTTGATTGGAAGATTGTTAGCCTACACATGAACAATATGTACAAATTTACAATTACACTTAGATAATCTAACAATTAACAGTCGAAATATTTGCAAACCAAATACGGTTTTGCCTAAAGTAGCTTACCTCTTCTGGAACACCAAAAGGTCTTGATCTCTTCAAGACATGTTCGGAATCTGCAGTTTGATAGTCCAGTGCTGGATTGTTAGTAGGAGGAGTCCTAGGACGCTTTAGCATAGATGCTATCATAAACATAATAGACACAAAGACAAAAAAGGTGAATTAGGCAAAGGAAGTCTTAGTCGAATCGGAAGAGGATACTGTTTTAAGAAAACAAGTCGCAAATATATATAAAGTTCTTTAAACCAAAAGGAAAAAAAAAAAAAAAAAAAAAAAAAAAAAAAAAAAAAAAAAAAAAAAAAAACACCCAATAAATACATTGTTTTTAAAAAAGAAAAAAAAAATGAGAGAGACTTACTGCTGGGGCCCCCATTGGTGGAAACCCACCAACTTTAGGAATTGAACCCATCAACGGATTAGTGACAGGGGATGGAGCGCGAGCACCGTTTGGTTGCGAACAAGTGTGATCCACAAAGAGAGTTTTTATATCAGGGTTGGGTTTTGGATTCTTACAAAGTTGATGTTGCCAATTCAAACTGCAATATCCAATTAGTAAGCATTAAAATTTAATAAAATATGAGCTCTGAGCTCGACCAAAAATATCGAATAAAAATGTAGCAGAAGTATCATTTGCTTCTTCAGCATGTATCACCTTTGGTTGATCAGTGTTCTCAATCTTGAGTTCTTCAAGCTAGGAAACTGAAGCTTATCACGAAACAGGGGATTTGCCTCGATCAGTTTCTTTAGCTCGACAAGCATTATAGCCCTGGCTGACTTAGTATCACCGTACTTTGATAGCTGCTCATTTTCCCTGGCATGAAGAGTTTTCTGATCATAAGAAATGATTATCGCAAATGCTGAGAAAAAAAGCTGCGGATATCCATGTCTAGACGAAAAAGGGCAAATGGACAAGGTAAGTGCAAACAAACCTAGTACTCACTACTATGCTCACATTCCAAAAGCCATGTAAGAAATTCACTTTACAATTATTATCAATCAAATCCTTGAAAAGCATTTTGAAAGATCACTCAAATCAAATTTTGGTAATTGCATGATATATATGAAAGAGATGTGTAAGAATCTGCTGTTTACCAACATGGCCACAGCCTGCAAACTTCATTGCAAATTTGATGATCTGGGAAGAACTTCCATGTAATTTTAAAAACTTATATGCACTATCCTGAACGGCATTCATTATTGTTCGTACGAGACAATTTTTCGAAATTTCTCACTCATCACTAAAGAGCAGGAAAATGATAAAGACCATTCATTATTATCATCACACACAGAACATAACTAAACCAATCTCACATACCATCCCAATCAACAAACTCTTAAATAGAAATTAAAAAAAAAAAACCAAATAGAAGGAAGAAAAAGAAGATACCTAAAATTTGACAAGGTCAGGAGCATTGTGATTTCCTTAAAGAGATCCTCATTGAACGTAGAGAATATTTTCAGATCTTTCCTTAGAATCTCCACAGCCTTCGAATTGTCACGTCTGAAGAACAAGTTAAAGCAAAATTCCAAGTTAGAACAATCACCACCTCTACCAAGTTAGGTAAATAAATCAAACCAAAAGCCCAAAAATTCAATGCTCACTTGTCTAGTGCTTCGAGAAATTTCTGCTTTCGGAGCTCGAAGAAAATTTTCATGGAGTACCGGTTGTCGTCCACCTTTGTAAACCCTGCCAGATACTTCTCCACATCCTCCCATTCCCCATTAGTCACCGCATCCTCAAAGTACCTCATGTTGAAGAAGAACCCTGACTCCTTCTCCAGCCTTAAAAAAAATCATTTCAACACCAAAAAATCAGCAATAATTATGTAACTCAGCCACAAAACTTCAAAAAAAATAAAAAAAGTTAAAATCTTGAGCAAACCCCTTACTTGTGCACGGTTTCCTTAAATTTCTCCTCATCGAGAAACTGAAGAATCAAGAACACGAGCTCTCTGCTTAACGAGGTCATCTCCTCAAAACGATCGAAACCAGCGCCAAACAATCCAGATTTCTGCAGATCCGCTGAAAACCCACCACTAATCCTTCAAATCACAAAATCAAACAATACCCAAAAAGGAGATACAATCCATCGCCATTAACATAAATTCAAAACCCCAAAACGAAAAAACACACCAAAAAAA